GGCCGGCGTGCACGAGGCAGTGCTAGGGGGAGGAGGGCGGCAGACGGTCGGTCAATCCCTCGAAGGGCTGTAAAAAAGGAGAAACCAAAAACCATTTGCACGAGCCCCTGGTTTTGGTTTTTGATCTTGTCCTTCTTTGTTTTCAACCCCTCGACCGACCGTCTGCCGCCCTCCTTCCCCCTAGCACTGCCTAGTGCAGGCCTGCCGGTCGGCCGGCCGGCGAACTATGAAAGCAGCCGTCTGATTCAAACCTATCGACTTGACGGTCATTTTCTCACGTGTGTCTCTTCCGTCAAAGATTTGCTTTTCATTACGATAATGAACTCTGCTTCTCCCTACTTTCGGAAATGATATACAAGAAAGCTGCTTATCGGACATACAAAATTTTTTGGGGTCTTACAATCAATGATGAAGATCTCGTTATGAGGGCTTGTAAAAGTACATTAGGCCGATTGCGGAGTGTGGACCATCAGTATTTTCCCCTTATAAGAAGAAGGGGATTTAGCTAATTGAAAAAAAATTCAACCTAATTTCACCCGTAAAGTATTCATCAGATCTGAAGGGCATAAATATTCTAGGCCACCTCATATATCTTGTAGGAATAAAAAGTACAAATTGTACACTTTTGTTCTCGTAGGAAATATTTCGATGTGTGTATGGTCTTTAAGCTGCTGACTGGTATTGCTAGGATGCCGCGTTGAAATTGAATTTGAACGTTTGAATTCTATGGTATGACCAACTCTAGAACTAGAGAGTGGTCAATAAAGATGTCGTATGCCACGACTAAAACGAATGTAAAGCGATATAGCTTCACTTGTTGGGCAGGGTCCGATTCACGGTTCCCAGAGCTACAGTAGTGGTAACGTCTCCAGCCTTCCGACTTTTCAAGCGCCTAAGTAAGTTGGAATCGCTGCGCTTTAGTGAGCACTAGATTATATAGGATCATCTGTTACCTCAGTTGTGATTTGGTAACTTCATTTATTTGCGTTTGCCCTATGCACAACGTTATAAATAAATAAATAGATAAAACAAATAAATAAATAAATAGATAAATAAGTGTTCTGCAGAAATTACGCCTGTTCGGGATAGTACTTGAACTCTCGTGTGAGCAATATCTAGCTTGCAATGAAAGTGACGAGTAGGTTGCTGTAGAGCGGTCACATTGAACCGAACTATTTAGTATGTCTTCAAGAGGCACTGCATAGCGGCTGAGTATTTGAAGGATACAGATTGGATGCTTGTTCTGGATGCCGATACAGGTACGATGTGAAGAACGTCAAAGAACAAGTGAGGTGCAAATCTGAAGGGCACAACACAAATGCCAGAAGTGGGCAGCGTTATGGTGTCAGGACCCTAATAATTCTTCAACAATCCGCAAGACTGAGTTCCACACGCGTAGATTAACAGGAGGTTTGGGAGAAATATCTGGCAAGTCCCCCACGTCAGCTTTTTCTTATGGTTAGATGGTCTTACTTCATTCGAACACTAAATCCCAGACATGGCGTTTCCGAGATTGGAGAGCAGCCTACAGGCTGGCATATACCTACAGAAAATTTGGAGATAGCGAGGCAAAGGGGATCGAAACCGGGCTTAGGCAAAATCAGTTTGGTTTTTTTGGGTAAATGGTCGCAAACTTCAACTCACTTTCCGTTGTGAAGGACCTGTAAAGAAGCTCGTGTGATGTTTAGGCGTGGTCAATCCCAATCATTGTATAGAAGAATGGATAGATGACCGTGTGGACGTCATTCTCTATGAAAGGTTTTTCAATAGTGAGATTTCTGCTGCAAGTTTTATGGTGAGCATTTCTATGAGATTACTAATGTTGTTTAATGGTATGTATTTATTCAGGTTCGCAATTCTGAGTTTGCAAGAGATTTTCTCATGAAATGGGCAGATCGAGAGTTCACATTACACAAGCGTTGGAACGGGCTGGACAATGGAGTACTTCATGTAGGAACCTCCATTTCAAATATCCATGTTGTTACTTACCATCGAATATATCTGGCCTGCAAATGGCAGTGAAAAATAATCGGAAGCCTATAAGTTCCGCCTAAACCACTTCTTGGTGTTATGACCTTAGAAAAAATGCCTGCAGTAGTCGAAAGTATGGGTAGACTCACAAGACGGTCGTATTAATATAGAAAATATTAATGTGAGTCAGAAAAGATTGTGTAAGGACATCGAAGAAATCTCTTGCCGAGAAATCAAACTCGTGGGAATTATAGCTGTTAGAAATTGAGGTTCGTGGACATTTGTAACCTATTCATCTTTCCGCTAAATTCCTTCTGTAATATGAATCGCCATGTCGACATGTTTATTTGTTTGTGTGATTGTTTGAGTTTGCCTACCTGCGTATTCATTCATGTCGTTCTCTTTGTTTGTTTCAGTGCATATTCGACCGAACGTTCATCGTTCCTGTTTCTCTGAGCCTGGAGTGCTTAGATTATAAAAGGGCTACAACTAGGGTGTTTCAAAGAAGTATGACACATGAAAGGAACTTTAGTAGGGGAGGGCTACATCAACAAAAGTTTCACCTATTACTCTGTCAGGTTGAGCCCTGATAGTTTGGTAGGTAATGTGCAGTGTGACGACATCATAGACTGTGCGCATTATGGGATTTGATAACAACTGGCTGATAAGAGACCATGGAAGACACGAGCCGCTCTGTCGACCACGCCCTTCATATTGATAATAAGACGTTCACACTTAGTGTGTATGTGAGGTGTAACGGGGTGGTGAAAGAAAGTGATAAGAGCTGATAAGGGCTGATAAGGGATCAGGGAAACATTCGGGTCTGTTACGCCTTCCGTATTCCAAAATTCGTTGGTAGATGATATTGGGTGTCTAACGAACCTGAGTTGAATAGACAGCAAAGAGGGAATGATATCAAGAGATAAGGAGCAATAATAAGCGCTGAGATGTAAGAAACTTTTCGTTTGAGCTGATAAAAGTTGATAAGAGACGTTGGAAGCAACTTAAGTTCTGAACCTTTTCACACTTACAACGGACTTTGAAAACTTATGTATGTTTCATGCAATAAGAGTTGATAGTACAACAGTTTGACAAAAAGTGAGTGTTATATGTAGTGGTAAGGAATGATAAAAGTTAGTAAAGGCTATTGCTTGCCATTAGACCACGACAACTACGCCTTAAGATTTGAGATTGAATAACTACGATTCCTCCTCACTCCTTTGTCTGTTGTAACACAACCCATTCAACACGAACACTCTTGGATTTCGACCAACGCTTTATATCCGTAAGTATGGGAAAGACCATGGATAATGGCTTCTGACTATGGTGCTATCACTAAGCGATAATATAAGTAAGTACCATTAAAGGCTTCGCTGACTAATCAGATGGTCATTCACAAAGAAGTCGCTTGACAATGAAGCTAGTAAGAAAAGGATTAAGTCTTAAATAGATGATTACTGCTCAGATTAAAAGCAACAGATTGGGCTCTGTAATCGTAGGCGTATACATCAACGCGCACAGAGAATCCGTTACAGAGCTGTTTTTGTTTGAAGGCACGGAACACGATAAAAATGGTTTCTTAGATTACCCCTTAGGACAACCACTTGTACGCAACGACACACGTTGTATAGCTCGTTCAAACACCCCTACTTCTTCATTTTTCTGGTCTCGTTCTCGTCCAGCCCCTTTTTAACGATTTTTTCGAGGCCTTTTATCACTTTGGAAACACCGATTCGCGCACTTTCTTCGCCTTCATAGCCCGATTTTCCACCTTACCTTCCGTTTTTCGTCATAATCTGGATAACCCATTATTATTGTGAACAGTGCTCTCCTGCTTCATAGCCCAGTGTCAAACTGTAGTGCTCATACGATTCCCTTTGAATAGCTAGTAATCATAATCCATTACTTATTTTGAAAAAGCGAAATGAAAGGTCAGCCAGGCATCCCGAATTAGTCACGAGAAGGAGGTGACCCTTTATGAGCAAGGCCGTCCGACCAGTTATTTCATGGACACATATATACTGAACAGTTCTACTTTCTCAGTGAAATAGTTTCTGTTTCAGCTCCACCTCTTGGATACGCTCATTCCTGACGCCATACAGGAGAGAAAGAATTGTCATGATGTATGGCTTAATGCGACCTCGTATGAGACCTATCTGGCCGTTGTATCTTGCGTTAGACAGGCACTTGGAGCCACACGTTTATGGCCAGGGAAATTACGTTTTTATAGAAAAGCCCATGGATGGGTTCGTGATGGCATGCTCACCTCAAACAAGTAAATTGATTGAATAGTGAAAAAAGTAGAGTTGAAATTAGTATGAGGTAGCGTACAAAAGCCTAAGTATAGAAGCGAAAAGCTCATGAATTACCAATTTGGTTATTCCTATGGATTATCACCAATCATGATGAGGAATTGTTTCGAGGTGGCACGATGGAGACTTCATGTTCCATTTATGGAAAGGTAATAACCTTACGACCGATTATCGGGGACCACCATTCACTGAAATGCCAGACCTGAAGTCGTGTGGCAACGGAAGGAACGGCTGGCATTGGAATGAAAAGAAACATGTGAATGTTGAACAAATCAAGTCAGTTTGATTCTTATCTCAAGACAAGATTTCAAGAAGAAAAGAAGAACGATATTACTAGTTGCTTAAAGATTGTGCATACGAGATACAAGGGTGAACAAAAAATCACCAAGTGGAGTTGACTCCCGTGGCTCATCAGTGAGTAAGAGTCATTTCCACTCTAGAAGAACTAACAATATAATTACATAAATAATAAATATGATCAAAGGCAAAAACACAACTAGAGCAGAACAACAGAAGCATCGTATGTGGTAGGGTATGAACCATAACTTGTAATTTTTTGGAGGCCTAGAAATTACTATATGTTAGATTTGCTTGCCAATGTACGTGTAACGCTCAGATTTACCAAAGCATGCTATTATTAGACCTCCATACCATAAAGCAGAACTAATATGAACAACTACACTATAATTGTGTTTATGTAAAATGATATCAATGTAATATGTATACACTAATTTACATTCCTCCACATATACGTATGTATACACAAATTAGCCAAATGTAATAGTACACATATGATTCTGTACCCATGCATAGTGGTACTATTACACACTCTTACTTGTATTTGTACCAGGAGTGACGTAAAAAGTAGTAATAACATAAATGTTATTTTGAATAAATAAACCTAATATTACATAATATACAGTATGCCCTTATTGGATTTCTACAATTGCTTCAAGAAGTCTGTATATATTTTCACAGTTGTATTCGAAAGAATACTTATACGTGATAAACTTGTTTTTATATATACTCCTAACTGTATATGATTGAAATGCTTTTGTGCCGTACGAGGTTGTTAGGTGGAACAGTTTATTTAGTCAACGGCCTAACGTTTCGACGCAATCGTACTACTACTCGTACGGCACAAAAGTATTTCAATCGTAAACAACTATGCCGAGGTTAAAGCAAGAGAGAAGTTGGAAACCTAACTGTATAAGTTAAGATGACCTCCTTGGTATATCAATTATCTATCAAAATTTTAACCAAATTTTTAATGTTAGAAATATACGTTGTAATATTACTGCAAGTATTTGCTTTTCTGAGACATGTATGAATAACTGAAGCTTTATTAGTAGTTGAAATATTAGAATTTTCATGTGGAAATCTGTTAATTTTAAAAGCAAAATCATCTATTGTGTATTATTAATAGATCGTCCATATATAATATCTAAATGGAATGAACATAATATCTTCATCCTTCTTGATATTACTTGCACAATTTCCATATTAGACAAGGTGAGATCTGCTAATAATGGACTAAAATTGCCTCCTTGTGGAACCCCAATCTTTTGTTAGAAACTTGTCTACCATAAATACAAAAACTATTATTTAACGTGTATTCTATGAAATACAAAAGATCTTCTATCCTGTAATACCTGTACTTTGGTTTATTTTCAGCCTTATCTGTATAAAAAGTATAATAGCCGTTTGTAGCAATATATCGTTTATTACTATTTTTAAAGCATATATTTAATAGTTCTTAAATATTTCTGATTATCTCTGTATGCTTTAAGTTAGTGACATATCAGTGAAGTCTGCAATAGATATTCCAATGTTCTTTCCTATTATGTTGTTTAAGATCGGTGCTGTATTAATATTATCAATTGCCCAATATGTTTTGATTGTACCACTCCTTTCTTGAACCACATTAGTATAATTGATGTAATGCTTCCTCATATATGTAAAGACTATATGTAACTGTTTAGCTAAGGGCTTCATGCTACTTCTTCTGGTTCCTGTAATAAACCTGGAACTTGATTGGATCTTTGTGTAGTTTTGGTAGAGCATATAGTGAGGATTTCCATATTCTCTTCTATTTTCAGATTACTACTAGCACAAAAAAGTTTAGGTTTAGATATAATTTGTAGTTTACTCCGATAGTTTTCGGTTTCATATGTATGTTTATCATTATTATATATGAATCTATTGGGGACCTGATCATATTTTATGCCCATTTCTTGCATTAAAAGGTTTAGGTAATATTTATGCACACAATCCCATGATTATTACTTGCCTTTTCTAACGGTCAGAAAACATATTTATTATGATACCTTTTTAGAGTGTTTGATGGTATATGCTCTTTACTCCCCTTGATCATAGCGGTTGTAAGTCGTGGTTTTATTTTTTTATGATAACTTTTCTTGAAAAACTGAATGATTAAATTTCTTTTTATGCTACTGGGTTTATATTTACTGTTGAAAAAACATGGGACTCCATGTACCAAACCTTCATATACTTTCCTAATCTCTTTCCTACTGGTTCCCGCATCTATTCTATATTTTGTACCTTTACTTAATATGTTCTTGAGTTCTTTGCCTTTAATTATGCTCAAATCTCCGTTAGTTATATGCCCATGATTTTTTCTATATACAACATTTCTGATTAACTGTAGAACTGCATTCACAATTTTGTTCAATTATTTCTTTTAATTTTTTTGTTTAGATTTTTAAGAATTTGATTATGATTACAAACCTTACCGGCCACAGGATTAGTATACTTGAACACAACCCTGACTGGTGTGTACCTGCTATCATGATCATCACAACTAATTATAATGCGTTTGATACCTTGTGCATTTAAATTTTTTAAAAGGAAGTTCATCTAATATACTACTTTTACATTCTACCACGAGATTATGGTAATTAATTTTCTTTGTTCTCTTTTTTTGCGGAGCAATCGAATACTGTAAGCGAGCTAGTAGACAGAAGATCATGAACTTTCTTTTGTGTTGCACTTGGTTCAGAAAATTTCCTTCTAAAGGTAATTTAAGTATTTTTTCATTTCATCTTTACGCAAGCTTTTAAGTAATCTAATATTCGATGGGTTTTAGATTTCTTTCATTATTAGTAATTTCTGTAAGAATCGTATCACCTTTATCCTAGTTACTTTTTTTCTTTCTGGTTTTTCCTCTATTATTTTTTTGTATACTTTAATGGCAAAGTATAGAGGATTGTTTTTATTGAATAGCGGATTTTGTGTGTTACTAATGTTTCCATATTCTTTAATATTATCGTTCATCCAAATGGATAAGCGGTCATTAATAATTTTATCCGGAATATTTCTCTATTAATTAAAACGCATTTATCATTGTTTCCCATCGAATCTAGAATATCAACTCTTACACCTTTATCGCACCCAAAAAAGTGATTATACAATAGTGTGTTTTTTATGATTGTATATATTCCTGAGATGCTCTCCTAATCTATCTCTTATCTTCCTAGTGGTCATTCCTTCATACTGAATCCCACATTTGACACATGTTGAGCAGTAAATAACCATTGTTATGTTACAATCAGTTAAAGTCCTTTTATATGTGTTGATCTTGAGATTAGTTATATAAGATCTAACAAAATTTTGATTATTGCAAATAGCACAAATTCTGCATTCATCTAATAAATAACCATTCCCTTCTCGTACCTTGTGAAATTTATAGTTGGCGACCATTCTCCCTCTATATGGAGCAGTAACTCCCAGTGTCGGGTTGTAGGTTGTTCCGACGGTTGTCTATCTGTCCGCGAAGCTCCCCTATGATCATGATGAGGGGACTGATATGAAATTTTACGCCCAGCTCGGTTTTTGACGGTAAAGAGAAAGTTTAGAAAGGGTAGGTCGCCTAGTTTGTGACGTGTTTGGTGTGACGATAGTGATGGCGTTAGCGTAGAACGGAACTCTAACTATAGTGGCGCTCAAAAGTGTTCGGTGAAATGCATTGACGCCTTTTTGTTCATAACTTTTTTCTTGGTAGACCAAACCGCGCGAAATTTGGATATGCTTAACTAGAGCATATTTCACACTGTCCAACACTATTTGACTGCAAAGTTGCAATATCCACAGATAGAGCAAGGTGTTTGTTGTGGTAGCAGATTTTGCTAAAACAAAAGTTGTTGTCGTCTGCACTTAATCGCACCTTATGTGCTTTTTTCTCATCTATTGTATTCGGCACTACCGCTCGTATACTTTAGACATGACAAAAAGGGAAGAGATTCTAGAAGGACCATCATCTGTTTTTTTCAATCAATTTTGTTTTCATGCCCTTTGGAATATTTGGAACACGAACGGATTTTAGGATAATAGTGGTAAATATTCACAATACACCCACGCTCCGAATATAGAAATTTCGCATGATTAGATCCCGTAGGAAAGGAGTTACGACTGAAAAGTACGGCTGAAGAACCATTTCACCGAAGACTTCTGAGCGCTACTGTATATGGGTGTCTAGCTCACTCCGCTGATCACGGCAGCAGCGACTCATATTATTTTGCTTAAGCTGGTAACCATAAGTTGGCTTCTTTCAAGGTAGAACAACCAATTGTTGAAAGAGGGCAGAGGTGTTCGGATGCGAACATTGCCGCTATGATATATAAGACACAGATAGCGATAGATCTGATTTCTGAGTTTTTCTTCTGAGTCTATTCATAACCTTCATATGGGGCGCTATCGGGCTTAAATGGCCTAGATAGAGTGTCCACCTCTGAGTGGTCTTTCAAAACCTACACCGCTCACGATGGAACAGCTTTGATGAAAAACCGGCAGCTGCTCGTCCTGGACTCTGACTTGGGAGATAGCGGGAAGCATTTTGGGAGGCAGAACATTTGTGCGTCGCGGCAGCGAATGCGCGCAGCGAAGTTCGTAGCGATTCGAACGACTTTGGCGTCTATCATTGGGGCTCAACTTTGAAGTTGAGTAGGAT